CCACGTGTGTACAATGAGGGTTTTTGTAATAGTAACTGCTTCCCAGAAGTATTCTGGGGATGAAATTCATTGAACACAGAGCACTTCGAAAGTGACTGGGACTTAGAAAGCACTCAGTAAGTATTAGGTGTTATTATCGTCCACGGGCAGGACTCTGGGACATCCACAGATCAACAAGGAAGTGAACCAGGAAAGGCTGGGGAGAAAATGATTAATATTTAACTTGTGACCAGTTTGAGTAATGGCAACCTATGAACTGTAACTGCCTAATTGGCTCAGGGTCTGTACGCTGAGAGCCCCTCCAGCTATGGAAAAATAGTCTATCTGCTTCATTTGCATTCTCTGCTGATGGAAGTAGATGTGGAGGCAGAGTGGCAGGGCAAAAAGTGGAGTTCTGAGGGCATCGGGCGAAGAACAGAGTAGTAAGTGATCTTGGTAATCATACAGAAAACAACCTTCCTCCCGACCACAGACTCTTCATCAAAAACTAAGCACAGAGGAACTTAGAGGGAAGAGAGTGTTGAAATAGAGCCACACAGGAGGCTGTAACTGCCAGGATGCTGCAGTGCTTTTAATGCCCGCCTTCAACGAAGAAAAAACAAACAAAAACGGAAAACCAGTGACCGTTTATGCACGTCATTGTGCCATGCCTGAGCCCAGGTGACACAGGGATAACACGACTGGGCCCATATGGGAAAGGCCCTGGGTTCACATCTAGGACCTCCCTGGCCACCGTGGCCCACGATCTGAGCAGGTTAAGAGTAGGGGTGGATCATGGCCTGAGGACCCTTTTGGGGTCATTGTCTCTTCCCCCCCGCCAGGGAAGAAATAAATCTTAAATTGTGTGTGTGTATGTATATATATATATATATATTTACTTATATATATACACATATATATACATACACACATATATGTATATACACACATATACGTCTATACACACACATATATATATATATATATGTATCACATGCACACTATATAGCTATTAACAGAAATAGATAGATAGGTGTGTATGTGTGTGTGTGTGTGTGTGTGTGTGTGTGTGTGTGTGTTTAGAGAGAGAGAGTTATGTGGAGGGATTTTTTTAAATAATTTTTTTCTGGGGGGAGAGGTTTTTGCTACAGGACGCATGTGCTCGCCAGACAGAGAGACAGAAAGTGAGAAATCACCGCCCAGTAGGGATGGCCACGCTGCAATCCCTTCTCCTCCATTCTCCTCTTGGGATCTTGGGCATGCACGCACATGTGCCCAGTGTGAGTTTAAGCCACCGGGTCCGGGACTTGAACCGCAGTCGACTACGTGGAAGTCCAGCGACATAGCCATTACGCTAACTGCTGGTCCCTAAACAATTATTTTATTGAACTTTATTTACTTATTTAAATTTGACCAGAGAGGTCAAATTAAAAAGAAAGACATACTGAGAAAGAGAGACAAAGGGACATAGAGAGAGAGAGAGAGAAAGCAAGCTGCTGGGTCCGGGACTCGAACTGCAGTTGGTTATGTGGGAGTCCAGCGCCCCTAACCACCACGCCACCTGCCGGTCTCACATGGAGGGATCTTAAGACACTCTGTGACAAATGAAAAGCTGCAAAACAATCCGTGTAGCACAATTCTCCTTACATAGAATATGTGTATGTTTATGTATTTGTATATATGTTTATGTGTAGTTTATTCAAGGAAAAAGATGGCGTGTACATGGCAAACTTAGTAGCGGTTACTATTGGAAAGGAAGGGAAGTAAGAGGTGAAGGGAGGCTTTTGCGTTTTATTCATTTTCAAGGTTGCTAGAATTAACAAATAAAATTATAGGATGTCTAGTTAGATTTGAATTTCAGTTAAACAGTTTACACAAGGGGTTTCCAAAAAGTTTGGGGGCCAGCAGGTGGCATGGTGGGTAGGAGCGTTGGACTCCCACATGGCCGACTGGTTTGAGTCCTGGACCTGGCGGCTTGCTTTCTCACTTTCTCTCTCTCTCTGTCTCTCTCTATATATCCCTCTCTGATTAAATTAAAATAAATAAAGTTAGATAAAATGATTCTTTTTTTTTTAAAGCCACATTCTTATTTAAAAGAAAAGATTTTGGGAGGGCTAACAGATGGTGTAATGGTTATGTCACTGGACTCCCACATAGTTGACCATGGTTCAAGTCCCAGACCTGGCAGCTTAAAACTCAAGCTGGGGGGCCAGCAGGTGGTGTGGTGATTAAAAGCATTGGATTCCCATGTGGCTGGCTGCAGTTTGAGTCTCAAACCTGGTGGTTTTCTTTCTTGCTTTCCCTTTCTCTCTCTCTCTCTCTGGTCAAATTAAGTAATAATAATAATAACAACAACAAATGGAATTAAATAAGTAAATTAAAAAAAAAAAAAACTCACACTGGGAGTCTAGCAGATGGCATAATGGTTACGTCACTGGACTCTCACATAGTCCACCACAGTTTGAGTCTTGGACCAGGCGGCCTAAAACACCAGGTGCGTGTATGTGTGTGCCCAAAATCCTGAGAGGAGAAAGGAGGAGAAGGTATTGCAGCATACCCATCCCCACTGGGGGCGGTGATTTCTTGCTTTCTGTCTCTCTGTCTCTCTGGCGAGGGCACAAACCGTATAACAAAAATCTCTCTCTAAAAAAAAAACCACACACACACACACACAAAAAAAAAACTCATGCAGGGTGCATGTGTGTGTATGCCCAAAATCCCAAGAGGAGAATAGGGAGAAGGGACTGTGGCGTGACCATCCCCTCTGGGGGGTAATTTCTTGCTTTCCATCTCTTTGCTGAGTGCACACACCCTATAGCAAAAATCTCTCTGAGAAAAAAAAGTTTGTGGGAAATATGTATTCTGACCAAACTCTGCATGAATTTCAATTTTTTTGTTGTACGAAAATAAATTTATACTTCAATAATCATTTTTCACGAGCTTTTTGAAGTCCCCTCACGCTTTTTAAGTATGCCCTATGTATGATAATAATATGAACAAACTTATACAAAAAATCATTTATTGTGTCTCTGAAATTCAAGTTTAACTGGACATACTATATTACTATTATTTTAGTTTTGCTATGGGACATGTCTGCTTGCCAGAGAGAGAGAGAGAGAGAGAGACAGGGAAAGTAAAGAATCACCACCCTCCCGGGGGAACGACCATGCCACAATCCCTATTCCTCCAGTCTCCTCTCAGGATTTTGAGCACACAGACACACACATGCACCTGGCATGATTTTCAAGCTACTGTGTCCAAGACATGAACCACATAGTTAGCTGTATGGGATCTAGCACCTTAACCTCACACCACCTGCTGACTCCTGTCAAGCTTATTCTACATATATATTACCTTTATTTTACGTATTTCTTCCATGAGAGAGAGAGAACAGTCTCTATAGGGTCCTGACACATACTGTCCTCCCAGCCTTACCCCACACTGTATCATAGGTAAGCGTGTGTCTGGCATACTCAGGGAGGTCTTTGGATTTGAACCGAGAACCTTCTCTTGTGGGTTTGCTCATAGTGCATCATATTTTACTGCCATGCCATCATCTGGTGGGGTACTTGCTACTCTGTATTCTTATTTATGACTTAACTTTATTTCATTGACATTCTTATGTACTAATTGTATAGTTTTTAAAAAATAAAAAGAGAAAGAAGGATCAGATAATGTCCTCAAGACTACAAAAAATGTCATTTTAGGCTAAGAAAATTGGTTGGCCTAGAAGAAATCCAGATTACAAAGCAGCATTCTAGTAAGGTCTCAGTTTTATAAAGAGAATATAGAGCAAATGTACACATGTAGAGAACAGAAAGATGAGAGTAATTACATGAAGTGATGAGATTAGGAGAACTTAAATTTCTTCGTTGTACTTTACTTTTTTTTTTTTTTTTTTTTGTCGGAGGGAACATGTACTAGCCAGGGAGGGAAGGGAGAGGGAGAAAGCATTCCTAAGGGATGTGGTCACACTACAATCCCTTCTCCACTTCTTCACCTTGTTGGGATTTGGAGCACACATACACACACACACACCCTGCAGGTTTTTCAAACCAGGATTTGAACTGTAGTCAGCCATATGGGATCCAGCTCTTTTAACTACTAGGCTATGGGGCCAGCCTATCTCCTTTTTGCTTTATAAAGTTTAGAAAAAGTTGTGTGGCTGGATGACACATTGATAAAACGCAGTGCTCTGCAAGGCTGACCCCCATGGAAAGGGTCCCAATTCATGTTCCGAAGACTTCCCTGAGTACTCTGTGTGCACATGTGTCCATGATCCAGGGCTGGCTGAAGCTGGAGGCGGATCAGTGTCAAGACTCTGTTGGGGACAGTCTGTTTCTCACACACTTATGGAAGAAACAAAAGAAATTTAAAACTTTTTTTGTTTGTTTTTGACATAGGGTGCATGTGCTCACTGGAAAGGAGAGAGACAGAGAGATTCAGAGAGAGGGCAAGTGAGGATAGCCATATTGCAGTCCCTTTCCCTCCATTCCCCTTTCTGGATTTTGGGCACGCACACACACATGCCCAGTCTGTTTCTCACGCACTTATGGAAGAAACAAAAGAAATTTAAAACTTTTTTTGTTTGTTTTTGACATAGGGTGCATGTGCTCACTGGAAAGGAGAGAGACAGAGAGATTCAGAGAGAGGGCAAGTGAGGATAGCCATATTGCAGTCCCTTTCCCTCCATTCCCCTTTCTGGATTTTGGGCACGCACACACACATGCCCAATGTGATTTTCAAGCTGCCTAGTCTGAGACTCAAACAGTGGTCGGCCATGTGGGAGTCCAGCACCTTAACCACTATTCTACCTGCTGGCCCCCAAAACAATTTTTTATAATAAACATGAATTAATTTTGGAAAAAGGAAAGGCTGTGAGTAGAAATCACCATGTGTTCATGTTTCCATGAAGACTTTGATACCCCCAGGTGGTTAGTACTCACAGCTGCCCTCAGATCACGTGAGGCTCACCTTTGGTTTGAAGTTTTGAAAAATGCTGTCATCCCTTATCCTTGCAGGATATCTCCAAAAGCAGCCCTACTTTGGAGCAGTGGTTGGAAGGGTGGCCAACCGGATTGCCAAAGGAGTGTTCACATTGGACGGGAAGGAGTATCACCTGGCCATTAACAAAGAACCCAACAGTCTACATGGAGGAGTCCGTGGGTTTGATAAGGTAAGTCGGGGCATCTGGCAGCCCCACCTGGCACACTTCACAAAGCACCTCAAGCATTCCTTCTCTTTGCCAGGCACAGTCCTAGGCTCTAGAGCACATGCTTGGTAAGGTGATGCGGGAAAGAGGCTGCTCCCTGGTCCCGGGGAGCAAATGCGATGGCTGTGTTCCAGGACTCACCCTTCTGTAGTTCATCTGACTGTCACAGGCAGGGGACAGGCTGTCACTGTCACGCGATAGCCCCCTGATTTAGGAAGACGCGGTATGACTTTCTCACAGTGCTAGGACCCGGATTAATTATATACGTGCCAATGACTGCACCAGGCATTCACTGTATTATCTCTGACCCTCTCTGGAACTCCGTATTGTCACTAATGAGAAACTGAGGTTGCGAAAGGCCAGAGGACTTCTACGTGGAACACCTCCCTGGACCTCCCATTAACCCCCACCCCCCACCTTGTAGCGTGGCACTGCACCTGGGCCTACCTGTCCACTGAAGTACCTCCTGCCTCAAAATTACCTCAGGTTCCGCCTAGTTCCCTATTTTCACATTAAACTCCCAATCTCCAACTGAATTCCTGAAAACAAGCTCAGGAAAGCAAATTGATCAAACGCTTGTGAGGGAGGAATGCCTGGCCTCGAACTTCCTAGCCCCACCGGAATCTGTGGGTTAACTTCACCGACTATCTTACTAGTCTAAGTTCAGGCTGTGAGGGAGAACATCCCAGTAGTTAGCTTTTCTTTAAATTCTACCACGTAGGTTATTGACTAGAGAAGAGTCGGAGGAGAAGTGACACAGATGGCAGCCAGTGGCCACAGCTGCTGCTGCTTCCTGCCTCTGAGTGCCCCTGCCCTGGTGGAGGAACTTGGGGCTGTCGGTTTTCCCATTCCCAGACTTCCTGCTGGTGGTCTGGAACCAGCTTGCCCTACTGGTTCCCCTTTCCTCAGTGATGGGACTCCTCATGCCAGGGGGAACCTCGGGGCGGAGGGTAGCATCTGCTCTGCCAGACTTAGGGCAGAGAAGGTCTAGAACATGCCAGTGGACGAATAGACTCCACCCAGGGGAAGTAAAGGCCCCCTCAGGTTTGGACAGGGACCCTGAGGGGACTCAGAACACACGCTGTTCTGGCTTGTTCCTGCCCACTCTGTTCCACTGGGGTATTTCCTGGGGTATTGCATGAACATCGCAAAATAGTGAGTCTCCATATCTATCCATGCCGTGGGTTTAATGGGCCCCTTCTCAGGCCAGGGAAGATAACAATGTGGATTCCTGAGGCCCACAGTAACATGAGGAAGACAGACCCTTACATGAAAACAGATGGTAACCAACACCGTAGTGGTTTGACTTTCGATTTTTTGCCTTCACAGTGTTATGAAAGGAATACTCATTAAGTAGAAACTGTACTTCGACTACTCATATAACTATCTGGTATTTTTTTTTACAGCCATTTTGTTTTCACTTTCAGTACAAAATTCCACACGTAACATGAGATTTTTTTTTTTGAGAGGTTTTTGCTATAGGGCGCGTGCACTCGCCAGACAGACAGAGACATAGAGACAGAAAGCGAGAAATCACCCCCCAGGGAGGATGGTCACGCCACAATCCCTTCTCCTCCATTCTCCTCTCGGGATCTTGGGCACGCACGCACACGCGCCCGGCGTGAGTTTTAACCCGCCAGGTCTGGGACACGAACCGCGGTCAACTACGTGGGAGTCCAGTGACATAGCCATTACGCTAACTGCTGGTTCCCATATGAGATTTGCAATACCTTATTATAAAATAGGCTTTGTGTTAGATGATTTTGCCCACTGTGGTCTAATGCCAATGTTCTGAGCACATTTAAAACTCAGGCTAAGTTATGATTTTTGGCTTTCGACTTAACATTTTCAATTTATGTTGGGTTTATCAGGACATAACCCCATCGCAAGGCAAGAAGCACCTGTAACTGTTGAGACCAGCAGGGGGTATGGAGGTTAAAGCAGCTGGGTCCCACATGGCCAACTGCACAGTTCAAGTCCCAGTCCCAGCAGCTTGATCATCGCATGAGGCACGTGTGCATGCATGCCCAAAACCCCAAGAGAAAAATGGAGAAGGGATTGTGATGTGGCCATTCTCCCGAGGGGTGATTTCTCACTCCCTCTTTCGCCCCATCCCTGTCTCTCTGGTGAGCACATATGCCCTATAATAAACTAACAACAACAAAAAAAGCACCTGTAATTGTTATAGGTGAGTTTCAAGAAGTACCATAACATAGATGCTAGTGGTGCGCTGTAGAACTGGGTATGAACCGATGAACAGCAACTGCGAAGGTGGGATTTGAGCTGTTGTTGAAAAATGGATGGTGTTTGATTCTTATGTAAATATTAGAGAGAGTTGCTGTGTGATGGTGCTGCAAGGGTGGGGAAAGACTGAACTTTCCTTTTTTTAGTTTTATTAAATATTATCATTAATTAATTAATTTATTTATTTGGAGAGGTTTTTGCTACAGGGCGCGTGCACTTGTCAGAAAGGCAGAGAGAGACAGAGAGACAGAAAGTGAGAATCACCCCCCAGAGGGGATGGCCACACTGCAATCCCTTCTCCTCCATTCTCCTCTCAGGATCTTGGGCACGCACGCTCATGCGTCCGGCATGAGTTTAAACCACAGGGTCCAGGACTCGAACCGTGGTCAACTACATGGGAGTCCAGAGACATAGCCATTATGCCATCTGCTGGTTACTACCATTTTTTAAAAGAGGATTATTTTACTTTAACTTTATTTTTATTTATTTATTTTTAAGTTGATCAGAGAGGGACAGAGGGAGAGCAAGACAGACAGAGAGAGAGAGAGAAAGCAAGTCACCAGGTCTGGGACTCGAACCATGGTCAGCTTTGTGGGAGTCCTGCATCCTTAACCACCACACCACCTGCTGGCCCCATTATTTTTCAATTTGTTTAGGGCACATGCACTCACCAGAGAGACAGAAAGAGGGAAAATGAAAAAGCACCAGGTCTCAGACTCAAACCAAATTGGCCATTTGGGAGTCTAGCACTTTAACTGCCACACCACCTGCTGGCCCAAGACTGAATATTTTAATAAAGTTTTTGATCAGTAGGCTTTGTTTGTTTTGCCAGAGGGCACTTGTGCTTGCCAGAGAGAAAGCCCCTCCCAGTGGGGCATGTTTATACTCAAACCTTTTTCCTCCCTTCCTCCATCCTATCAGGGTGCACACATGCTGGAGTGTTCTTCAAGCTGCTTGGGCTGAGATTTGAACCCACAGTTGGCCATGTGGGATAGAGCACCATATGCACAGCATTTAACTGCTGCCATACTGGCAGGTCAAAGCCTAGGTTTTTGATAGTTAGGTGAGCTGTATCAGATGACCTTTCTCTTCCATTGTGTTTGGATCTCAATAACCACTGACTGCTTGTTGACCTGGAGGTATGTGTTTTTCTATCACCCCAGGGTTTTTTGGGGTTTTTTTTTTGAGAGATTTTTGCTATAAGGCTCATGCGCTCACCAGAAAGAGAGAGACAAAGAGTCAGAAAGTGAGAAATTATGCCCCAGGGAGGATGGCCAGGCTGCAATCCCTTCTCCTCCACTCTCCTCTCGGGATCTTGGGCACATGCGCCGAGCAAGAGTTTAAGCCACTGGGTCCGGGACTCAAACCGCGGTCGACTACATGGGAGTCCAGCGACATAGCCATTATGCCAACTGCTGGTCCCCAAACAGGTTTTTAACAGATGAAATTTGAAAAGTCTGATAAATGGTAAAAACAGCAAAATTTCTGGAAATTTGGAAAGTACAGGGTCAGGCAAATTCCTGTGAAAGGAATTATGCCAAACCAGTAATACTGGTTTAGACGGCCATCTGTCTATTTTATCTTTACTTTAAAGGAGGAAAGGTAAACAGCAAGCTCAGGACATTTTATCTCAAGTATTTAATTCCTGGAATTTTCCATTTGAGGGATTCTTTTTTCTGTTTCTACTTTTTTTTAGGATTTATTTTATTTAACTCTTTTTATTTATTTATTTTTAAATTTATCAGAGCAAGACAGAGTGAGAGAGCGAGAGATAGAGAAAGTGAGAAAGCAAGCCACCAGGTCTGGGACTCAA